CTGGCGGGCAACGCGCGGCAAGTCGTGCCACCTATAATTGAAGCATCGTTCATGGTCAGGCTAGAACTACATAATATTGTTGCTCGAACTGCAGCCAGCAGGTGCTTTTCTTCTCCTCCTCAAGCTTCGGCAAGAATATACTACACATATATGGTAGCTGAGAAAGCATGACATGCCATAATTTGTTGTCCTTTTGTATCTTCATACACTGTATCTTCCTTTTTCATGACCCAAAAATAGCTGGGAAAGAATGACATCCATAATTTGTTTTCCATCCTAGGCTCATTTGCCGGCCTGTTATTATTCTTTTTTGTCCTTAATAAACTGTATCCTTTCTTTAGTATTCTCCTTTGCTTATTCAGGTAACTGCTGAGGATGTTTAAAAAAGACATCACCAATAGCAGAGCACTCTATTGCTGCAATTACATGCAGGTACAAAATTGATGCCCACTTTGGGATCTCCCTTGTGGCCTTTCCTACAATCATAAGAGCTACCAAGAGACGCAATTGCTTTTAGTTATCCCCTTCAGAATACTAATTATTGATGTAATGTAGAAGGTAAAAGGGAATAAAATGATCTCTTTGAAATACTTCAGAATACATGCTTCAGAGCACTAATTATAGCTATAATGTCTCTCTTTGCTTTGCTAGAATATCTCTTCAAATTTAAGAGGAGCTTGGTACTATTTTTTCTGATGGACTTTCTTTATGAGGATCAAAAGATTTGTCTCTGATGGCTTTTCTTACAAGTTCCCAGCCATTTTGTCACCCTCCTCTCCTATCATTAAAAATAGGACAGAGTTTCGCGATCAGCAACCTGAGGCGCCACTGACAGTATTATCAGCTGCCATTCAGCGGCCAATGATGCACAATGGCACAAGTGACATCATCTTCGATTTTTTCTTCTGTTCATTGCCATAAAAAATTAGCAGGCTGCATTTGAGCTTGTAATATTCATTTGATGTTTCAACTAATGGGTTTTATACAATGTATTGTTGGAGATTGGATTGCAAAAACATGAGAAAATAACTTCTGACTGGATGACAACAATGTCGACCTTTTTGGAGAGAAAATTGAACCGGATTAGGCGGCAGCTGAAGAGCATGCTGCGAAAGTGAAGGGTTCTGGCAAGAAGAAAGAATGTATGTTATCTTACATTCTTTCTATTTTGAAGATTGCCTTGAGTGTGAAAGATACTGAGCATGGACCTATGTTCTTATTAATAGCTCTTGCTGCCTGTAGTACCATATAGATAGAAAATAGCTATCATTTCTAATGAAATGATAAGATTTCTTGATCTTCAATAATGATGTGTACATAAATAGTACTAAACTCGATGCTGCCTTATGATAATCTCATGGTGATGTTGAACTCATTGCTTCTATCACATGTGAATGTTTCTTCTTACTTTTATTTTGTTATATACTGTTTGAGTAAGTATGTTAAACCTGAATTAGTACTAACTTGAGCATTACCTGCATAACCACAATGATGGGACCGGCATCCTCGCGCCAAGGCGCGTTACCGATCTAGTGTTTGTGAAGAATAGGAAAATATCTGCATGTCCATGATGCACCACAAACATTAACCTAGATCCAGTTTCCAAGTTGCACTCCTTCAGTATTCGCCTCCACAATTAAATAGGATGCATCAATCTGGTACAGTTGAGTAGGTGTCGTCGAAATTGGTCTTTTATCATGGAAGATAAGTGTCATATCACCATGCGCATCCATCATCTTAGGCACGACACATCTTGGGAGCTTCTATTGCAAGAACACAATAATCGAGAAGCATTAACGTGCGCGTATGGAGCGCCCTCTCACAATAGCCATGCGTGCAGCAGGAACGGCAAACAGGAAAAGGGTGCAGTCTACAATGATGTTGGTGGCCTGGCATATTTGGCTGGAGAGGAATGCAAGAACCTTCAGAGATCGCTAGCGTCAGAGTGCTGAAATCCTTGCAGCAATCAGGCAAGACATGGATTCCTGGAGGCTTGCCGGAGCCAAATGCCTGGAAACACCACTTGGTGACCCAGGCTGATCTCTGTTCAATTTTTAGGTAAATGGCGACCCCTCTAGTGGCGCCAACTCTGTAACCCCCACCATGATCACTTGATCATGATTTTTTTTTCCGCACGCTCCCTGCTTAATCAATAAAAAGCCAGCAGTGATGGATCTTTCAAAAAAACAATAGCCACGTCGAATTTACTGTGCCGAAGAGAAAAAGGTAAAAAACGCGTCGACCCATCGATTCTTGCTCTCGCACGCAAGCCTCCCCTCGTCGCCTCTCCTCTTACGATCTCTCTCCCCCCGCGACTCCTCGCCGCCGCCGCCACCACCCATGTGCCGTCCGATTCCGGCGAGTCCCGGCGGTGGGTGACACACCATCGACCTCCCCTGGCCCCATTCCTTGGTCCCATCCGTCCAAATCCGTCGCTATAGGCCTTCTGCCCTCGCTCCTGACCCTTGGCCATGGCTAGGGTCTCGCGCGCGGCGTCACCTTCGTCGTCGGCGAGGCTCTGGCGGGTTCCGGCGGCTCGTCTCAACGCGTGGCTCCGCCTCATGGAGCGCTGCAGCGCGGACGAGAAGGTGGAGGGCGGCGGTCGCCGTGGCGAAGGAGGGGCGGCGCTGCCACAGAGGAGAGCGACGAGGGTTGCGGCGTCGCTGCAGATGATGAAGAGGAGAGCCACTGCACCACGCGATTCCACGTGATCCTCTCATCTTCAGGCTGAACATCCTCTGTAGCATCCACTGAAATTTTCTATAGTGAGTCCCCTGTTGTTTCATCTTCAGAACATCCTCTGAAATTTTACTTTGGCTGATGATGTTCTTACTCCCTTATGAGATCAACTGTACAATTGCTCTAAAATATTGCTTGACTGCTTGTTTTTATCTTAATAAAAGTATAGATTCTATTCTGGCAAACTGTCCACTGTATTTTTTGATAGTTAAATCTTCTGTATTCATTGGACAGAAGGGCTACATCATCAAACACATTAACCTACGCGTAAGGGGCGCCCTCTCGCAATAGCCACGTCGAATTTACTGTGCTGAAGGCGACAAAGTTAAAAACGCGTCGACCCATCGATCATTGCTCTCGCATGCAAGCCTCCCCTCATCTCCTTATTTCAATTGCATTTCAGTTGATGCACAATATGTGATGCTTTAGACGACACTACAGCGAACTATTTCATTTGTTATGCCCCTTATTGTATTTCAGGCTCAGACAACTAAAAGAGGAAGTTCTTGCAAAAAAGAAAACTAGAAGAGGAAGTTGCTATGGTTGGTGTGGCTGAGAAACTACGGCATAAAAGAGCAGAAGTGGCCTGAGTCTTCATGTTCTTTGCAGGTATAAGCCCTTCAGGCAAATTAAGCAGCTTTTCATGTTAGAATAGGGTGTTGCTTCATGCAACTGCGCCGCCGTTTAGTGTTTACAGATCACAAACTAAGCAAAATCTGGATGTTCTTTCGATTATAACTTTATTACTAAAGTTCTCTTATTTTAGTTTGTTGCACTGCATGATATACTGAGCATACTTCTTACTATTTGATTTAAATATATGGATAAAATGGCACCATTTGTTCTGGGGTGGGGTCAGAAGAGTTCTCAGCAGCATATGTACTTTGTGAAGTCCATATGCTGCGAACTAATGCTGCAAAAGTTATCCTTTCTCTCTAGAAGTATCTAACTTACATGGCGTGCTTGCAATGGTCATGATTTAGGATGACCTTGTGTTCAGGTTGAAGTAAATAATGTTCTCATATCATTCTTTCACAGATATTTGTGTAGTTCTCTAGCTTACAATTTATAACAAATAAACTAGGATCCTTTCTTATTTTTTTCCTCAAAGAGGCATACCCGACCGCAGTGAGGAAGGAGGGCTTCGGTCGGCTATTCGGCGGCCTCCCCTACCACTCAAGGTGAAGCCACCTCCTCCCTCTCTCTTTACTACCTTTTTTCTGCCTTTCACTGCTGACGGTCTCTCCCCTGTTCGCTCCAGTAAGAAATGATCCTTTTTCTGGGAGGGCAGCAGATCTAGAAACAAGGATTTATTTTGCAAACAAATCGATGGGCAATGCATTGTGTACAACATCGGGCAGGAAGCAGACCCATAAATTTACGCTTTTTATTATTTTCTGTTTTAATGAAACCCTATTAGATAAATGTGAAGTTGAAATCCTGCAGCTTATGATGAATGGGGATCAGGTGTTAGTTTGGTTGTCAGATCATTTGCATGATGTCAACTTATTATATTATGCTTATTATAGGCGACGTATCAAGTATTAGGCGTAGTAGTAAAAGCAGAAGAAATAATCTCTCAGGTTACAAGAAAGTTAGTTTTTCAGGTGTGCATGCTGATGTGAGGTTTATATACAGAGTGAAAAGGAAGTGTTGATAAAATCCATTCATTCATTGGCCTGCATGCATCACTTATTCAAGTGTCACATGGGAGCTCAGCCCATTTTTGAAAGGAAATTGATCTGGTTGCACTACAATAAATAGTTAACACCTTCATTGAGGTGCCTGGCAGCGTACTGCATGAATTAGTGCAATTTTGTAAATTTACTTCTGGAATTGCCGAACAACCTCAAGGTTGGCTACACAATATATTTTTTTAGTGTAAATGTGATTAATTTCCAAACACTTCAGCAAAAAAATCCAGCATCGAGAAAAGTGTTACCATTACTAAATTAGGCCCTTTTGGATAAATACGAACTTAGCTAGACAGACTCATATAAAGTAATGTTTTTTTATTGTTGCCCCATAGATTCTTGGTAATCAATTCAGGATGATATAATTTTATAGCTTGGCGTCAGGAATTTATAGTTCAGATTAAATTCCTGACGTATAAATGTATAAAACCATGTTATATAATTCCACAGTATTAGATGCTCAATATTGTTCTTGCCATGATGTATATTAAATGTGGTTGTGTTTTTATCCTTCCCATTTTCAGATCAGGTTCTGGTTGATGTGTAGAGCTATTTCCATCCCAACAAATGTCTCTCAGAGATCTATCTGCCTACCATGATTTGAGTGCTGAACTATTATCCGGGTTCCTTGCAGAAAAAATCAATGATATGATTGTTCATGTTAAATGGTCTTGCCTTTCTTCTTCTTATTTCACTGTACATCCTGATCTAACACTATCTGGATATAATATGTGCTTGTTGCTTGACTGGCACTTTACTTTTCTATGCGGAAGGTACATTACAGAAGATGATAGGATACTTTCAATTCTGCATTAGCATGACAATATCCATGATGTAAGCAGCTTTCATTCATAAGCATCAATCTGAATAATAATAATTCAGAAATTGTTTTGATTTTGATATGTTCCTGATGCTTGTGGTTGGTTTGCCCCCATTGTAGCGCTGACATGATCCTATCATACATCGAGTAGCTTTTGGTTGGATGGTAAACTGAGTGGACAAAAATGACCTTGTTTTTTATTTTGTCAAATGATAATTTAATGAGCTTATGATTCCTAAAATGAATAGTATGGTATTTTCATCATTAAAATCCAGGCAACTATTGAACTCCCTGGAAAGGGGTGTGTGTGTGCATTGGGGCTAGAGGCACTGCTTGGGACCCAGTTGTAAGTGGGTGGTCCATTTGTGGAGAGTTGTTGTGCCCTGTTGGATGTGTTGCTATGTGGTTAATTATTGCCTATGTGGTTGGTCGTGTGAATTTTCTATTAGACTTGCATCGTATGTGAATTAACACCGCCTTTCCCCTCATGTATAAACCTTTCTTCTAACAAAAGAAAATGATGGCACCATGACAAGGAAAAATATCTAGAGCCCACAACCCAGTGACCAGTTGAGATAGGACTACTTAAGAAATGGAGTAAGGAGATTAACCTCGCCACTTCTTGATTCTTCCCTCTTTCCAGTGCCCTGTTCCCAGAACTTATCGTCTTTGCTTGTGCAGATTTTGATTATGTACGCCTACAAGGTATTTGCTGAAAATCCCAGAGGGCTGGCAGGGAAGGAGTGGTCTCTATAAGCCATGTGATTCCATTCTTCAAAAAATTAGTACCAGCAATCATAGCAAGATGATTTTGAGATTAATAAGAATCCATGAGATGAATAAAAGTATGAAGAAACAAGGAATTCTGTCACAGGAGAAACTGTGGTACACCACTTCAACACGGCACAAGAGGCAGATCAGGGCATCTTCAAGGATAAGGAAACATCTGCAGACCTGAAGGTGGTTGGGAACTTGGGATGTCCTTGCTATTGGAGTGGTTCGCCGAAAATTATCGGCAGTTTGGTTGCACATTGGAGCTTATCACAAACAATACACAGGAAGGATCTCAGTGTTGTACGGGCTATGGTGGGATAGGAGGGATCCTGCACACCGGGTTGAGGTGAACGCTTATGAAGACACACTTGATGAGAAGTATGATGAAGACTTTGAAGACCAGTCAGCTGAAAATCCAGTGAATTCAGTACAGGAGGAGCCTGTCCTAGCTCGGAACCGGAACGCGCCGTAGCAGGAGGCTGAGGCATCTACAAGCTCAGCGAGGAAAGTTTAAGGTTTGTACTAAATTGTGGCAGCGCTTCTCTTATAAACAAATGATCATGTGGTAACATTCGATTCGATTTTCTTATTTTAGGAAGACGACGAGAAGATTTGAGAAATGATGATATATAGCATGCTGCTGCTGCTGCATAAGTGAAGTCCTCTCAGCGTGATTGGGAGGAAGACTGTATTGCTGATCTCCATCAGAAGACTATCCTATTTAGTACTGTCATTATTAATAAGAGGAATCATAGTTATAAGTTACTATTAAGTGTCTCTTGTGTGATCTCGAATTTGTGTGTTAAGTTTGTGCTTTATTACTGTTGCTGCAGCTGCGTCTGCAATTCTGCATCTGCTTATCTGAACCGAAGTTGTGATGCTGCCCTATATTTATTTGAAAATAAAATCTATTGTGCGTCTGTTGATCTGATATGGCAATATTCCTGTTCAGTTGGCCTTGCATTTTATTTATTTGCTACTGTAGTTTTTTTTTGTGAGACATTTTCCTTAGAAAAAATATATGAAATTGTGTGTATTTTGTTTGATCGTGAGGTTATTTTAAGGTTTGCTTATGTTCTTTTTGAAGGAAGTAAATTACAAAAAACTACCACAATTGGGGACCCTAATTCAGAAAACTACCACCTTTCGATTTTTTTTCAAATAACCACCACCATTCTGCTGACAGTTTTCAAAAAACACTGATAGGTCACTAAACACATGTTAACAACGTTTCTGGCAGATGGGTGCCGATGTAAGTGATGATGTGGCACTGAAATCTCACGGTGTTTGGCCTGTACAGTAAGCTGCACATGGGACCCGCACGTCAGCCTCTATACTTCCTCCTCCACAAGCGTTGACAGGGGGAAATAATCACACCTGCATCTGACCGGCGCACCACCGGATTCAGCCGCCGGCCGGCTCGCGAGCCTCCGCCTCCGTGATCTCCCTCCACCTTGTCTATCTATGCTCCTGCACGCGAGCCGCATCAGCGACCATGCCCAGGCACGGGGGCGCGAGCAGCAGCGGCGGCATCGACCAGGCACGGGGGCGCGAGCAGCCACGCAAGGGCACGAGCAAGTGCAGCGGCCACGGCTACGCACGGGGGCGCGAGCAGCAGCAGCAGCAGCCACGCACGGGGGCACGAGCTGCAGCACCGGCCGCGCCCATGCGCGCGAGCAGCAGCACCGGCCTCGGGACGGGCCGCGAGCAGCAGCACCGGCCGCGCCCGGGCACGCGACCATCAGCACCGGCCACGCGACGGGCCGCGAGCAGCAGCACTAGCCGTGCCCGGGCACGCGACCATCAGCAGCGGCCACGCAAGGCGGCTCGAGCTACCGCCTGCTACAGAGTACGGGCACGCCGCAGCGATGGCAGGAACGCGAACTCTGCCCAGCGTCCCGACTACCCCGTGGGCGCCCTGGTCCGGCGCCGAGATCCCTCATGAGGGCCATCTCCTTCCCCCCTATTTCGCCGTTGCCCGCGACCTCCCGAGCACCATGGCCGAGAGCACGAGCTCTTGGTCCGCCCCGCGCCCCGACTACCCCATGAGCGCCTGGTCCGGCGCCGCCTCTCTGCCTGCGGCCGCGCTACCTCGCACTCAAGTCACTCGCAGCCCATTCCTACACTGCCACTAGCGAGCTAGGCAGCCGACGGGATGCCCTCTAGGTGTTTGAGGAAATTACCCAACAGGACCTAACGTCCGTCTCCTCACTCTGTTTGGCATATGCCAGGTTGACCTGACAATAGGATCTACCCGTCAGATTCGTTGTCAAACGGCTCTAATCAATCGATCAGTGTTTTCTGAAAACTGTCAGCACAATCGTGGCGGTTATTTGAAAAAAAATCGAAAGGTGATGGTTTTTTGAATTAGGGCCCCAATTGTGGTGGTTTTTTGCAATTTACTCCTTTGAAGGTTTGCTTATGTTCTCTTTGATCCTTCCCGAATGCGAATAAGAAAAGAAAGTTGAAACATGTTCACTAATATGTGTGCTTTGCAGGCTTTGTTTCCATGTAGGGATGTATTTGAGTGTACACTTACCTGACTTTATATAGTGTGTCATCTTTTGTTTATGGCTAGAACTGCTGTATCAAATGTGCAAATGGCACCAACATCATACAGTGGGCCATGCCTGATAGCTATTGCTGTCATTTCCCCTCCTGAAATCATCCTTTTCCTATATGTAGGAGGTTCAGTAAGGTTGCTCACCAATGAGCTGGGAGTATTTTTGTCCTGAGTACTTGCATGATTGAAGAAGAAATCAGGTATTGCTAAATGTGCTATTGCAGATCAAAGGTGAACTCAAACGATTTTCTTACTTCAATCTCAGGTGAGGACTCTTGTTCACTAAAATTCATTTTTATGTAATTATTTTATTGATCCATGACATCGGCCATCCTCTGTTTCCCTTCCGCTCCTCTCGTCGATGACCATGAGTAGGCAAAGGAGATGAAGCGCACGCGCAGTGCCAACGCCGCCGCCGCCGCCGCCGGATTTTCTCTCGAGTCAGGGGAGGTGTTTGGGGGATCGACTAGGAAGGATCGAACGGCAGCTGGAGAAGACCTGCACAAGGGTGCCACCAGTCATTATGTTCTAGACCAAATAGATCGTAATGCGATCGAGTTGGAGAGGTGGATTCAGACAACAGATTCCTTCACAAATTCAAAGGCAGAACTCAAAAAAGAAAGGGCAAGGAAATGAAGGACGCAGGACTACTAGAGGCAAAGACAGACAGACGCGGCCGGAGCACTATGACGGCTTCGATGGGCGTGGAGGAGTGCACGAAGACGCTGCGGAGCACTGCTGAGGAGCTTGTCAGCAGGAGTAGCTGCTCCCGCTGCTGCATCACAACCGCATCCTGATCTGCTTCGACAGGTTCAAGCCCTCCGTCACCGGCCGTGTGCACATCTGGAAGGTCAATAATAATTCTCCGACTCTTAACTTCCCAGCCGCCAAGTTGCTCTTGCACCACATGCTCTTGCCGCAAATTCCTAGGATTGTACGTACGTTGTATGTTTCAGAATGACTGACACACGTCCTCGCCTTCTCCTCTTTTGTTTCTACCGAATTCTAAGGGTGTTGGAAAGGTGATCAGTGTGAACAAGATGGTCAGGGCCGGATGCAAAGTGAAGATCCTAATAGTGGACTAGAGGCCTGGGCTGAAGGACTCCGCAAGATCAAGGAGCGGCTGGACCACGACAAGGACGTCGGCGGTGGCTTCTCCGCCATGTGGGATTATTGTTTGACCTTTCACAGTTACTTCAGGTGTCCATAACATCAAGCATAATTTTGGTGCTTCTTAACCTTTTGCATTCTATTCTAATCCTATGACAGAAGTTTTCTTAATACTTTTAGTTATGAATTTTGTTTTGTGATCTTCTTCCTGATTCGATGTGATTAGCATAATACTAAATTTGTTGGCTACTAATTGATACTTCTGTGTGATACCTTTAGTGTGTGCTGACCGGATTAATCTAAAGTACCAAGATTTGCTTGTTCATTATTTTCATTCAAGCTAATCGAATGTTCATTATTTTGTGTCAATACTGTACAATAGAGAGCTGTCCATGACATGTATGGGAGCAAGGGAACCGGAGGTACTAGATGTAGGCACTAATTGTATTTAGAGTTCGGCTGCAACAATCAAATCTTTTAGGATGGTACTAATTAATGTCTTGATTATTTTTTATTCCAGTCAACATCAGGTACAACCTTGACTAGGAG